TGATTGTTTTCAACACCTCATCGATCTAGTGCCAAAACTTCTAAAATCACATTGATCATTGTCTATTTCACTGTCGCTTGATATTTTTCTCCAAGTTTTACATAAGACTGTGTCTTCATTTTCTAACCAATTGACACCTCTCTTGTTAATTGAAAAAATAGAAGAAGATGTGGAAAAAAATTGAAGGCTAGGTGTATAGAGAGATGATAGAGCCCGGGAATTTGGGTTCTATCTAGGGATTGGGATTAGAAGGGGATCAACTAGGGATTAATCCGGTTGTTATGGAAATGGAAGGGAAGAAGGGGAATTTGGGTAATTGAGGAAGAAGAAGGAGGAAGAGAGGGGAAGGCCGTGCGGCGGCCAAGGAAGAGGGGAGGGGAAGTCTCGGCAGAGAGGGGAAGAGAGAGGGAGATTAGGCAATAGGTTTAGGTTTAATCTTGCTTAATGGTAAATCTCACGTACAAGAGTATTTTATATAAATGCATAATTCCCAAATGATACCCCAAATAATTAATCCCCACAATCTCCCCGTAATAGTCCCAATAATTCGAAATAGCAATTAACCGACAATAAATCAAAATACTAAAGTGCAAGTTTCCATCAACAGATTATGGAGAATGAGAAATGACAAATGAGATAGTGTATAAAATGGGGAGTGGCCGGATGGAAATTCTATTAAAAAAATTATAGCCATTTCATAATCGTTTTATATCCGTTATTTCGATTATCTTGTTATTAGAATTTAAATTCACCACAATAGACACGTCAAAACATCACACAAAAGCGGACCCTACCTTTTGCACTTTGTTTTGCCTCTCCTTCATTTCAGCCTAGTTTAGACCTTAAAATCCAGCTTTGCACTTGCCTTTAGTTCATGGCTAAAGCATTTCTTTATCACCGACTTTAGAATTTGGGTTGTTGACAACCTTACATAATAAAAAAGAAGAGGTTGGATGTTATAAAGTATAAAGTGTTATCTCACCGTTTGACTAAATCAGTTCCGATACCATATTATAAACCAGTTGGTCCCAATAACTCAAGTTATTGGGATAACGTTATGCTTGATCTTATATCACTCTCTAATCGCTGTAAATTATATCATTATTTTGATGTTCTAAATTAACAAATAATTTCATGGTTTCTGAGCAAAAAGAAAATTATTTCATGGATCAACAATAAAAGTCCATTCACTCCATTGAGCCAGCATTTCCATGGCCTATGAAACGCTCTTCCCTCGACTTCATTCGCAATAACAAGACCGAACTAGCTATGTTGGGCTTAAGCATGGCACATGCATTATTCTCTTGGCATTTAGTTGAACAAAACCAAGGTTGTCAAATCGTCGGTAGATCCGGACACGAACGAGCTTGTGGATAATGGGTTAATGGGTTACCCGTTTTAGCCTGGTTTAGCCCGGAAATATGAAAAAAGTAATTATATTGTACTTATCCTGAATCCAACATATAAAAAATGCAACACTACTTCAACTTCAACACACTTAAATAACATCAACTTAAATTCAACATAGTAAAAATTCAACAACACTTAAATCAATCACATAACATCAACTTAAATCCATCATAGTTAAAAATTCAAGAACACTTAAATACACCACACTTAAATTCATCACATAACATAACTTAGAATTCCAAATAACAAAAGAAAAGTACTCAACCTTCAAAGATAAAGCTATTCATCTCCATCATACTCAAAGTCCTCTGCATCAAAACATGAAATCAAATATTCATAATTATTACCAATGAGATGATAGTTATTATAAGAATGTATAGACTTTTCTATAGTTGCTATAATAGACAAACATTCAACACGAGGATGCTTGTTAGAAGATGATGATGATTCTTGCTCCTCCTCCTCATAAAGAATCTTTTCAAGCTCCTCGTAGTCTATATCTGCAGGTGGATCATCTTCTATAATCCAAAAATCGATGATCTAATTGTTCATAAGTAATTGGGTCTTTCGCCACTCCTTCTTCAAGCACCTACAAGTCAAAGAAGATTAAACAATTGAATATATGAATATGAAGTGTTAATAACTTTACAATGTTGTATACAATTTAATCATTACCTATTCTTCAACCTCAAATTGTAAGTCACATAAACAAGATCATTCAATCTTTGATGCTCCAATCGATTCCTCCACTTACAATGAATTTGGTCAAACACACTCCAGTTCCGCTCACATCTAGAAGAAGATGATGTTTGAGACAAAAGTCGAACAACTAGCTTCCTCAAATGTGGAGCATCGTCTCCAAATAGTGTCCACCATTCTACTTTTCATTCAAAAAAATTATTCTAAATAAGTATATAAACTTTGAAAACATTGTAAGCTTATAACTAAATATGTAACAACTAACAAGTAATTAGAATTGGTAACCTGGAGGTAAAGTGAAAGTACACGAGATAGCTGATTTCTTCCCAAAGCTTCCAAGCCAATCTCTAAAAAGTCTAATCTCTTGCATTGATTCTTCTATATTATCACATAGGCCTTCAGTTTCAAGAAGATTAATAAGACAAGTTTGCACACAACGCTCCTCTCGAGCTTCCTTAGTATATTGAAAAACCGGGTTCAGATAATATGCACCTCCATAGATGCTATATCGAAGATGCTTATCCCATCTAGCATCAATTAACTTCATATATACATCAGCCCCTCTTCCATTGCCCATAAAAGTGTTCTTGATAATCTTCTTTATCCTCATGCACATACCCCAAAGATGGTTGTTGATCAGAATCAATAATCCTCAACAACTTCACGATTGGCAATGTCAACTTCACAATCACTAAACAATCCTGCCACAAATTGTTATCCAACACAATTGACTTAATGTGCTTCCCCTCTTTAGACTTTCCCAACTTGTGAGATGTAAAGAAGCTACTTGTAACAAGTTGTTCCAACAGTGGCCTATGATCATACACACTTTTCATACATATGAAGCTTGTAGCAAATCGAGTAGCTCGTCGACGCACAATCTGCTTCCAACCCTCTAACTTTTTCAAAAATGCCAACGGAGGAAGATAGCTATAGACAAACACACTAATCTTCTGAGCTCGTGCAACTAAGCTTGACACATGTTTCGTCTTGTAAATGTCATCCAACAAAAGATTAAGAACATGTGCAAGACATGGAGACCAAAAAATGCTCTTATACTTCTCATGAATTTGTCTCCCCGTAGCAACATAATTAGGAGCATTATCTGTGACAAAATGCACAATATTCTTTGGCCCAATCATGTCAATCACACCACCAAATAAGTCGGCCAAAGTACTTGCATCCTTAAACATGTCAGATGCATCCACAGATTTAAGAAAAAGACACCTTTTGGACAATATACTAGAAAATTAATCAATGATCTTTTACTCATATCCGTCCAACCATCAGCCATCAAAGTGTGCAGCATTGAAGGGGAGCTTAGCATGATAAAACCATTTAGCCACTATCAGGTCTGCATTTTACTTTACCTCTTTTCCAGCAAAAGCACTTCGAATGTTAGGTTGAGCTCCTGGTGTTGTTCTTGGAGCAAAGAAACTTGGTCGAGGTTTTGATATTGTTGAGCTTGTGTTGATTTGCTCATCCGACTCATCAACATCTTCACTTTCATTTTGCTTCCTTAAAACAAATTTTGGTCTAGCCAACTCTTCAAGCAAAGCCCTGAACCTTACTTGAATATCATGGGTAACCTGTGAGCAAGGACTACCGTCACCTTTTCGTCCAGCAAAATGCTGCTTCACCATGTTAATCCCTCCCCCTTTAATCACAAGACTACACAAAAAATATTTGTGCCACATTTTTCCAGTTTCTGAGATGATTCGCTCGACATAATCCCAAGTTGGATCCTTCTTTTGTCAATACCGACAAGCATTGCTAGCAATAGATGGTTGTGATGATTCGTTGCCAGATGCCATTCTCAAAACCTGAAAATCACATAACTATATCAAACCATAGTCATATGAAAGAAAGAAACCAATCTGAAATTCTTCTTCCGCACATAAACAATCCAAAATTCCAAATGATTACTAACAAGTAACAACAGTATACATTACTTTGGAGCTCAACAAAACAAAAACCATCTTTCACCTTATCTTTGTGACAATAAGAAACCAAATATATCTTTGGTTCAAAGTATCCAATTACCTTAATCTATCTAAATTGAAACAAAATAGGGATTATCGAGTAACAGGCAAACCCCGATGACTTCTGCCTATTCGGATGTTACCTTCCTGGAGATGTCGCGCGGGCAATCTGTGAGCTCGCCGGAGAAGGCGAAGTTGGAGACAGAGCGGGGCAGGAGCTGGAAGGAGGAGGATGGCTGGATGCAGAGAGGGAATGGAGTCGTCGACCTGGAGCCGACGACCTGGGAAGGGAGAACGAGTGCAGCTGCGGGAGGTGGAGATAGCGAGACAGCGAGAATGGAAGGAGGAGGGAGCCGATAAGGGTTTCTTCTTTCGTGTTCAGCTTCTCGCTTCCTCCCCAGGAAAACGACGCCACATAGGTTGAAACGGCCAGCAGCAGCTTTAGCCCGCTGACCCGATCGGACGAGCTAACCGCTCGGGTTTCAGCAAGTTTGACCTGTTCCGGAATGTTATGGATTTGGGTTGATATCCCATTTTTAATGCCAGGTTCGGCCCAACCCGGGTCAACACACGGGTCGACAACCTTGAACAAAACCAATCGATTGTCTCCATTTTCCTCTTGGAAGGAGACCGAGATCGGCTTCCTCAGGCAGTCAGGCTAACCATCATGAACAACGAAACACTTCCAAATCCTAGTCAACTCATCACAGCAAACTTAGTTATTACATTAGAAAGCTTCCCGCGCGCTTCTTTTCTGCTCAGTCGAAGCAAGTCATTTTTATGTAGAAGAGTCCATCAAGAATTCCGATGGTTACACAGAAAAAGGGAAGCAACAAATGCAGTAATTCACAATGGTAAAAGTAAGCAAAAAAGTAGGCGAATCAAAACAAACGGTCGTGGAAAAGAGTTAAACGAAGGAGCTATGACTTTATGACGGCTTGTAGTATTTGGTGGGCACGAACGGCATCTTCGTGACAACACCATCATAAGCCTTCCCTCTTACCACCAACTTCACGTTGGTACCGGCCTTGTGCAACCCAGATTTCACGTACCCCATGGATATGTTCTTCTTCAGGCAAGGACTGAACCCTCCGCTCGTCACTTCGCCTATGTTCGCGCCACTAGCATCCTGAATCTCGCTGTGAGATCGCGGCGGAGGGCCCGAGGAAGTGAACCCAACTCGCCTGATCGTTGGGCCATCAGCGAGCTGCTTCAGAATCACCTCCGCGCCCAGGAAGCCACCCTCGGCTCTCCTGCGCTTCCCTATGGCCCAAGTGAGGCCTGCCTCGACGGGAGTTATGTGCTGTTCCATGTCGTTGCCATAGAGGCAGAGGCCAGCTTCGAGGCGCAGGCTGTCACGGGCGCCGAGACCTGTCAGCCTTATCTTGCCTTCGGATTTCTCCAGGAGGGCTTTGGCAAGGTCCAGTGCGTTCTCTGAAGGGACCGAGATCTCGAACCCGTCTTCGCCTGTGTACCTGGACAATGCACGCGAGGAGCATGTCAGTAGTCACGAACAAACGAAGTTACTAGCAAGGAATCTAAGTAGCATGCAAGTCCAGAGAATTAACTAGCTGACTGAACCAAGACAAGAACACACAACCTCGAATGAGCACTATTATTTGCTGTGAATGAATTTATATATGATTTCAAGAAGCTGAATAGATGACGAAAGCAGGAAGAAAAAGTGTGTACCCAGTTCGAGTGAGGAAGCAGGTAGCTCCATTGATTTCCAGAATACGGAACTCGCCAAAATAAAACTTGCTCAAATCGTCCTTTGTCAAGTGTTGAAGGACTGGAGCAGCAAGAGGGCCCTGCAAATCATACAATCAAGACTTACTATCAATTACAGAATCAGGAATCAGGGTGAAAAATTGGCTCTTAATCACCAAATGTAACTGACGAAACATGATCTTCAAATACAAAAGCTTCCTCCTTCCGCAATCATACAACTAAACGCCACTTCACATAATATCCACAGAGATGAATACTACGGTGGTTCTACTGTTCTTTCTCACATAGGGATGGGATGATGTCAAGACACTCAGAAGTGCACAATTTCCCCAAACCTTAAGTAACAAAGTCTAAGGGAGCTAAAATTGGAGAAAGGAAAGGAAATGGACCTGGAGAGCAAGCAGGGATCTCTCATCATGGATATGCCAAGCGACATCTCCACCTTTAGCCTTGAAAGCCTTCATATGCTCCTCAATGTGAGCCAAATCCTTATCCCTACAGCCAGCATTGACCACCAAGTAAATGTGGTCCTCAGTGACCTTGGTGATAACCGAATCATCAATGGCACCACCCTTTTCATTTGTGAACACGGTGAGGCTGCCCGTCCCGGGGGCAAGGCTAGCCACATCAGCAATCACAAGCTTCTCCAGGAAAGCAATGGCGTCTTTCCCCTTGAGGCTGAGCCCGCACATGTGGGACACGTCGAAGAGGCTGCCGTTCTCCCTGCAATTGACGGTGGAGTCCATGATTGAGTCCTTGTACTGGATTGGCATGCTCCAGCCGGCGAAAGGCACCATCTTGCCGCCGTGCTCGACGTGGAAGTCGTAGAGGACCGTCTTCTTGAGGTCCCCGCCGCCGGATGCGAAGTAACGGCGGGCGGCGGCGGCGCTGGCTGCCGATGAGGACTTCTTGTGATCAGGGCGGGCGAGTTGGCGGGCGATTGATTGGCCCAGCTGCCACAGTCCTCCCCCTCTCATTGCGGCTGGTAAAAGAAAAAGACATTGGAGCAACTCACTCAGTTACAGTTTAATTGCAAAACCAACCTTCGGAATTGAATCCATCAACACATGGAAAACAGGAAGAGCAAGAACAAACAGCAATAACACAAAAGACGAAAAGGGTGAATGCCAAAGGGAATACGGGGGATGGCGGCGCTTACGGCGGAGTAGAGGGTGGACGGAGAAGGAGGAGCGTCAGAGGAGAATTGCGGTGGAGACTGGAGAGTGGAGAAAGGGAGAAAGGGAGGAAGATTGGGAATTTGGGATTGAGATTTGGTTGGGAGTGGGATGGATTTTTTGGCAGTATGTAGCGGGTGGAGGAGGCCTCTCTTTGCCCAATCGTGACTGAGTGGCTTTTATTTGTTTTCTATACTTTCCCTTTTTTCGGACTGACCAACCCCAAACTCCAACAACTAACCTCATCGCCGGACGGCGGTGCTGGGGTTGGTGACTGCGTGGTGCGCCGCTTAGCCGGCGGTAACCGACGTCATGAGTTAGTGGTGCTCTGAATCAGAATCCACTTCTTCTTTCCCCTTTTCGTCGAAATTATACAGGTGCATTGTTGGGCCCATCGACCCAATGTATTGGTTGGGGCTCGAGCCCTGTCATATTACATTTGGGCTACAAAAGCCCATCAAGGTAGAACGGACACTCGGGCCCAGCCCAAGACGAAGAGTAGCCCGGCGCCAAAAAAAGGAAGGAGATTTCATAAAACTCAAAAAACCGAAGAGAAAATGAGAAATTGCCGTACAGTGGCGTTGCGACTTGCGGGGAAGCCGGGAAGCAATGGGTAAAGGCACACTGCGGTGCAGATGGCGGACGGACTACTAGTTTACTATGCGGGCTAGCAGATGATGAGTTCTTGAGAGAAAAAAGCATGGGGAAGAAATGAGTCAGACGGAGTTAATTCTCGACCCTTCTCGTCATTGTCCCTCTTCGATTTTCAATTTGGGTTAGAGTTAGATAGATGAATAAGAAAGGATTGGCCATCCTCATGCGAGCCAGAATGAGGGCAGCAGCTGCAGACGGTTCTTCTCCGGCGAGCACTAACACTAAGATCGCTCTGGCTGCCGTGCCTCTCCCTGTGGCGGTGAGTAACCTAACCCCCTCTCCTCCCAATTTCCGGAGCTCGACTTTACTTCTGCTTCTAGTAACTGTAATTTTTGTAATCAGAGGGAGAGCGAAGCAATTCAATCCCACGGGGATGGCGATCGTCTGTACAAGCAACAGGGAAACGCTGCCGCTCCTTCACTTCCTCCTCAGAGGTTATACTTCTCGTTCCCGTCGTCGGTTGCTGGTATTCCGTACTGAATCCTTCTAAATTAACAACTATATTTAACTTCTTCTTCATTGGTCTCAGAAATCTCGACGTTGTTCGAGACGCAATGCACTCCGCCATATCATCGAGCAAAACTGAACTTCTCGATGCCGTCCTTCACGATTTCTCTCAGGTTCCCTCCCGCTGAATTCAATTTGAATTTTTCCACAGTTTTGCTTTACTTCGATCAGCATCTGGGTCTCCCGTTGTTTATTGTTCCTTATAGAATGTGTACCCATACTGAGCATCATGGGTGGCTCTAGAGCTGTCTGGAGTACAGCTCACAGTATGGGCACATTCCATATTCAACAGCCTGTTATGAAATCATTTCTCTGCACCTCTTCAGGGTTACTTTGCCCTCTCTCGCGATCACCGCCGCAGGCTATTACTCATCCTTGCTAAAGGCTATGATCTCAACCGCAAGCAGGCTCGTGAACTGATGGATCAGCATCTGGGTCTCCAGCTTCCTGGTGTTTTTCGCTTTCTCAGCTTCCACCTTCTTCGATTATTTCATTCGTGTGGCTGCTTCTAATCCTCTCATGCTTCCACTTCCTTCAGCTGTTGATGGAGTTGAATCTGATTCCCCGCGCGATGAAGCTATGCTTTCTGCTTTCTATCGCATTGAAAGGAACCTCAGACAGGCTCTCAAGCCTGCCTATGAGGTCCTTTTTGAGAGACTCAACAACCACCCTGGTGGATTGAGATTCCTCACCACCCTTCGTGCTGATATCTTGTCATTTTTGCAGTAAGTTACTCAGTCAGTTAGTTTAACGATAGTTGCTTGCTTCTGTACCCCTGGCTATGCTTAACATGCCTACACCTCGGCTTGAAACTGTAGAGACGAAAATGTTGCATCTTTGCGGGCTTTAGACGCCAGTTTGAAGGAGAAACTTACAACTTGGCTCAGTCCTGTGGCATTGGAGCTTCACCAAATTACTTGGGACGATCCTGCTTCTTTGCTTGAGAAAATTGTGGCATATGAGGTAACTTCCTGTTTATCCACCTATTTATGTATTCTCTGCTTTCTGCTTTCCTCCTCAATCATCATGGTTCAGTTGTTTGCAGGCTGTACATCCTATCAGCAATCTCTTAGACCTGAAAAGACGATTAGGTGTCGGTCGTCGTTGTTTTGGATATTTACACCCTGCAATACCTGGTTAGTGACAGTTCCATTTTTATTCTTCTGTCCATTATGCATAAGTGATCCTCATTCAGTATGCTGAGTTATGAACAAAGCACCTCAAAAATCTATACCGTGATCTGTTCCTTTCTCCTTATCTTCTATGACGTTTTAAGGTTCTTCTCAACAAAAGACTTGTAAATATGCTGGATGAAGCTTTGAAACTAGAGACAACTTGCAAACAAACGTGCTGCTAATAATTTTGCCTGTCAGCCGACAGCGTTTAGCCCATGCAACTTTCTAGATGTAAGGACTGGGTAGATAACTTACTTAAATTTTACCTGTGGCAGCATCTGTACCCACACTTGTACTCCTTGAATAGTGTGTATTATTCCTTCTAGGTAACATAAACTGAAGGATGTGTCTTTCTCTCACCCTTTTGCTTTTAAATACTGGTTGTCTAACCTTTGACGTTCTTTCAGGCGAGCCCCTTATTTTCATTGAAGTTGCACTGTTGAAGAATGTGGCTCAAACAATTCAGGCTAGTTAAAGACGCCCCACGCTGTTTTTTTCAATTGATTGTTTTTTAGATAGCTGATTTCAGAGGATTCTAACCCAGGGTGTGGTCAGTGGTGGATAGTATCATTTACATATTATCACTAGGTCACCCCTTAGGTTGCTTCCAATTTATCATTGACGTTTAGCTGTTGAATAATGACAGGAAGTTTTGTGGGATGATCCTCCTATTTCAGAATCTGAGGCCTCATGTGCATTATTTTATTCCATATCATCAACTCAGGTAAAAAAAGGTTATTGGTTATTGTTATCTGTACCATCACCTGCTTTCTGTAGTGGCCTGATAGAACCTGTTTCTAGGATTCTATTGGGAATTGGAATTTAGGGATTAAGAACATAATTAGTGATTTGAGAAGAGAAAGATAGAGAATCGGCCTAGGCTTTTAGAGGGATTGGGAACTAGAATTGAGAGGATTGGGAGAATAGGGTTTAGGAGATTGTTTCTTAATATTCTTCTTCACTCCTTATGAATGAATGACCAATTACATATTTATAGCGAAAGACTAGAAAACCTAATAGACTATCCTAATATGACTCAATGACTACTAACCATATCTAATAAAATCCTAATAATAATAATTATGATAGAACCCGTAAATTGGGTTTCTATCATGGCCTGTGTGTTTACAGTTACATGCTTGTATTGTTGAAGTCGATTGAAGCTGCTCCTCATATCTGTAGTATTGGAGATGATTCCTTCTAGTATCTGATGCCTCATATCAGTTGTTTCTGCTCTCTTGCCTACAAATTTAGTGTTATTTTCGGGTGTCGTCTTATGTACTATCTTGTGCACTATGTTGGTAGAGAATGTAACGACTAATCTACTGGTCTTCAGAACTTCTGTACTTGGTTGGACTTCCGAATTTTAATGGAAATTGTCGGCTTAGTATTTCAAACACATAATATGAATTGATATGTCCATTTCAAATGAAACCTTGTTGATGAATGGGTTTCATATGCTATCTTTCAGTTGACTTAGATCCTCCTGTTGAATGTTAGAAATCAGAAGTTGTGAACAAAATCCTTCGAACGTTTTTTGCATGTATTATGAGTTCCCTCACATTAGTGAATCGCACATCCTTTTTATGTAATGTGAATATCTCCAGGTAATGTATCTGTTTCAGATTCCTTTAGACTCTCTTTTACGTTTGTAGAGTTCCTTCATGGTGTACAATTGACATTAGGTTGAGATATCCTGACAAAATGGTGGATTGCCAATTCTATCTTTTTGCTTGCTTTACCTGGAAATGTACTTACAGAATTTTGACAGTCTGGCTTGGCAGGAATAAACTTAGGGAAGTTTCTTATAAAATGGGTGATCACATTGGTGAAACGGGATATGCCTCACATTTGTGTAAGTATTTTCTACTCCCTTTCCTTTTCTGTTACAGAACCAAAGAATTATTTACAGAGCATATCTCACAATGCTACAGTTGCTAATTCTTCCGTTCCACCAACTTCTTATCAATCTGTAGCACCATCCCGATTTTGGTTAAATCTATTACCTTAGTTCTATTCTTATCTTTTTACAAAACCAGAGAGAAATAGAGGGAGGGACTGTTGAGCCTCACAACACTATTGTTCTGGCAGACATTTGCTACTCTCAGCCCTATCCCTGGGTACATGCAATGGCTGCTTTGTAAGTTGGCATCTGATTCCCCTTTTATGGAGAGGTTAATTGAACCAAATGAAGAAAGCGCCCTCATAAACTCCTCTAGGTGAGTTTCATAATGCCGGAGATTCCTTGTACATCAGTTTCTACCTTGTAAGTTACTTGACTACGTTGTTTGTTGAGCACATTATGACATTTCCGCTTCTAGGGAGACTTATGCAGGAAAAAGTGGCGCCGAAGTGATGTTGAACATGCTGACATCAACCAACTATGATTGGTCCTCCAATGCTGAAATGCTTTCAGCATTGAAGCCTCCACTCATGAGACTCTGTGCCAGGTACTTGCATAGAAAAATCTGGAAGTCTTTGCAGGCCATATATAAGCCCATGTTTGTGGTATTGCTTGAAATGTGACATACTGCAGTCTGCATAGTCATTGGTTAAGCTAGCTGCCTGCTTTCTACATAAATTGTCCTATTTGCTTCATGGAAAGTTATAAAAAGAAGTTGATGATGTAGTAAAATTGGCACTTTTCTCTCATTTTCTGGTGTGCAGAATGTATGCCTGATTTTAGCGTTCTCTGAAACAGGATATAGATATGATGGCTTTATGGATGTAGGTACCTTTTGCAAGAGAAGAAGAGAGGCAAAGCCCTAGACTCTGTTGCAAACTTTCACTTGCAAAATGGAGCGGTATATTTTACATCTTTAATATGTGGTATACCATACCTAAGGACATAATAATAGACAAAGCCCTGCTCTAATACCATTCATGTTCTAATATGGATCAGATGATTGAAAGAATAAATTGGATGGCTGACAGATCTGAGAAAGGTCTTCGTCAAAGTGGAGGTATTATGGTGAACTATGTGTACAGGTAATCTAATCTGCAAAACCCTTTACCTGTAATTTAGACTGCTGCATGTCTGTTTCTGCACTGAATGCTGCTGATTATTTTAAAGTGCTAACAAGAAATACAGATTTGAGTCCCAGATTTGGCCCAAATCTCGTAAACTAATGACATGACGTTGAAATAGCAGGGTGGAGGATATCGAAGAGAATGCTCAAGCATATTTCCGAGCAGGCCACATACAGGCTTCTGAGAATGTCTGTTGCTACGTCAAGGTAAAAGTGATGCATGGCAGGCTGTACTTATTCAGGAAAAGCAATGCAACGTGAAAGTGCTATTAACTTCCTCATCCTTAGTTCCTCTGATATTCAACCGTTATCTTCCTTTGGCTGTTTAAGGAACAGGAGGTCGGAGGCTTGAAGGAGAATGATGGGGAAAAGCCACTGTAACTCTGATCATCGGGAGACCAAGTATTTGAAAACATTGCTAATCTAATATGTACAGTCAATGGTGGCTCACAGGCTCAGGTATAATAAAAGTGGCTTCAACGAGCTAACGCTATGTTGTGAAAAAGGATAGCATGGTCGATTGCTGGTCTAAGATTATTTGGGAAGGAAATTCTCAGTATCCTTGGTACATCCTCCTATTTGCAGCCTTCATAACCCATATGGATAGGCGAAAATTTAAGTCATTGGTGGTGCTTCATTTCTGAAAGGCATCTATGTATAAAAGTTTATGTTATATACATCTTAGGCATCTAGATGCTATACGAATCTTTGCACAGGTGCAGGTACAGCCGGTGACTGCAACAGCGATGGTGATCTTCTTCCTGGCCAGTCAAGTCTCGTGGCTGGTTTCCGACACGTAATCTCGCATGAGGCGCGTATTGGAGTCGCTAACCTTCTGCATCAAGTATGAACAAGAAGAATAATGAATGGGGTGAGGGGGATTTGGTTTCTGGCATTGGAACCTGAAGAGAAACTAAGGAGGAAACTGCGAACTAGGAACCTTGAGGGCTAGTCGATGAAGGTTGTCCCACTCGAAGTCCATCTTACAGTAAGCTGATCGCACCTGCATATTCATCAACACCAACAACTATTAAAGGACTCGTGATTTCCAGGCAATGCCAGTATAACAGGATGTCATTCATCGAAAGAGTATTATGCACGAACCTCTATGATTCGCAGAGCTGGTGTTGAAGAAGACAGCATTGGGAGGCAAAATAGAGTGGGTTAGATAGATGCAGAACAGAGGGGGCTGAAATTGCGTAGAACAGAGTTGGATTTCATTCTCACTCACTCACCCAAACCCTTGTGCCTGGAGGATTGACGCATGAGGGCAGCACAGAACTCGTCTCCGTCCTTGAGGGGATGGCTGTCAAGGAATTCCATCAACTCTGCGTGTGCTTCCCGGTTATAGGCCTGCAGCCATCATAATCATCGAGCGTTCGTTCATTGTTCTCTCGAGAAGGGCGATAACTAAGGAAACTGAATTGGGATATAAAAACAGGACGAGAAGAAGAACGAACCCTCAGCTGGGCGGATACAATCTCGAGCGCAACGTAGGTGAAGAAACTGACGAGGTACTTAGCTGCCTTGGACTCCGGCGACTCTCCAAATCCTGAGAGGTAAAAGAAATGTTCATAATTTGGCTTTTGTATGGAGAAAATGAGGGGTGAGGGACTGCAGGGACAGACACCCACCAGGAACATACATCTTGTGGCAATACAGTCGACTGCCACGGCGGCTGATCGAGCGAAAAGCAGTAGACAATTGGCGGCGGCTTGTGGTGGTGGTGGTGGACGGAGCTGGAATTGGTAATCTGTTGGGGATGAGTTTGGGTTGTAGAGAGGAGAGCCATGATGTTGGAACTACTGTGGTTGCTGATGTTGCTTCCATTCCCGGCGCTACTTCTGCTTCTGCTTCTTATCTGATTGGAGAATAGATGATTGACTCAGGTTACCCAGAACGAGGCACTCATTCGTAACCAAAAAACTACAAGGCCAAAATATCTTTGCAGAGGTCCCAGCCGTCGTTGTCTCGTTTAAAAGAATCACAAGTTCACAACAGAAAGGCACAAACCTCCTTGTAAAAAAAAAAGGCAAAATACAGTTGTATATCCACAACTATCAAGTTTGTGACAAATATATCCACAACTATCAAAATACACGAAATATCCAAAAATCGGAAGGTTGTGTGACAAATCTATCCACTTCCGTCTGAAACTATAACGACGTGTCAGACGACGTTAAATTGACTAACAGAATGTTGAATCAATGCCATCTCACCTGCCACATAAGCAAAAAAGCAACCAAACTTTACACGTAGATGCCAAATAGGCTAGTTGAATAAAGGCAAAATACAGCTGTATATCCACAACTATCAGGTTTGTGACAAATATATCCACAACTATCAGGTTTGTGACAAATATATCCACAACTATCGAAATACATGAAATATCCATTTCCGTCTACTCCGTTAACTCCGTCAGTTAACTTGATGACTGGACAAACGGTGAATGCTTAGTTGGCGTGTTTCTGACCCTACTGAATGACGTGGATTAAAATAGATTTTTTTAAACCCTAAAAAACACAGACAGCAAGACTAAAAATCCAACCAAGAAACACGCCCGATAACCACTGATCCTCCTCCGATTGACGCCTCCATCCCCAAATAACCCTACCACAATCCCCAACCATTGCCTCCCTTTTACTCCGACGGCTTCTATGCAGTCGGCGCCATGGTGATACCAAGCATGAATCTCAAATAAAAAAGCTTGAATCTAACCAAATCGCCAACAGAGAAGACTGCATCAGTGAGGTCTAACAGATAACAGTGTAAAGTTTGGTTGCCTTTTGGCTTATGTGGCAGGTGAGATGACATCGATTCAGCATTCTGTTATTCAATTTAACGCCGTCTGACACACCGTTATAGTTTCAGACGAAAATGGATAGATTTGTCACACAACCTTCCGATTTTTGGATATTTCGTGTATTTCGATAGTTGTGGATATATTTGTCACAAACCTGATAGTTGCGGATATACAACTGTATTTTGCCTAAATTTTTTTTCTCTTTTAATCCATGTCATTTAGTGGGTCAGAAACACGCCAACTAAGCATCCACCGTATGTCCAGTCATCAAGTTAACTGACGAAGTTAACGGAGTGGACGAAAATGAATATTTCGTGTATTTCGATAGTTATGGATATATTTATCTCAAACCTAGTAGTTGTGGATATACAGCTGTATTTTGCCAAAAAAAAAAAGAAAGGCACAAACCACAAAGATTTGGTACTTGGACTGTTTCATGGCCTTCAGATCAACATCAGTGGCCCAAACACAAGCAGGCCGAACTTATTTATCAGGTTGGAAGAATTGGATTTGTAAAGCCCACTATCGAGACTTTCAATAAATAACAACAATAATGTATTCTCTCTTTCCACAATGTCAAAACACAACCCGATTAATCCACTCGATCAACTTGATCCGCAATCTGAATTGACTAAACTCAATAACTCGTAACTCGTCCGACCCGCAATCCAACTAACTCGAACCTAATTGACCCGAATCCAACTAACTCGTAACTCGACCGACTCAACCCGAACTTCACATAATCCACTTAAATAATTATTATATTATACAATATATAGTTTTTCAAAGTAAAATTTTTCATTCTAAACTTAGGTGAAATCATTTTTTTCATTTCGTATAGAGAATTTAGAAAATATGAAACTCGCTTTATATTATTTATTTTAAGAAAATTCCAACAATTGAAAAATGAAGGCCACTTGAACACTAAATTGTTTAACAAAATTAAAAAGGTAAATATGAAACATTAAATCAACACAATGTCAATATTCATAAGAATTGATAATTGAGATTATGGACAATATTAATATAATATCTAAATGAAAATTTTGGTTAATTTAACTATTCAATAAAATTATCAATTAAATATAAATAAAGTAAAGTAATGTATTTGGTAATTTGATGTTTCTAAGAAAAGAAAAAATTTGGTGTATTCAATTTTTTGGGAAGAAAAAGAAAAGTAAAATTTGGTTCTTTGAATTTTTGAGAAAAGAAACAAGGGGAAATTTTTATGGTTTTAATTTGTGGGAAGAGAAAGAAGTGGGAAGTTTAGTTCTTTAATTATGAAAGAGAAATAAGGAGGACAATTTTGAGTTTTCAATTTTTTGTAGAAGGAAGGAAGAGAGAAATTTGGTTCCTCAATTTTATGGAAGAGAAAGAGGAGGGAAAATTGAGTGTTTCTAATTTATGGAAAGATAAAGAAGGAAACAAATTTGGTGTTTTCAACTTTTTGGTTTTTTAAAATTTTAGCCTTTGAAATATGAATCTTTAATTTTTATATGGAGGGTATGACTAGTTAAATTTATTCTTATATGCTTTGAAGGCTAATATATATATGTATGTAATTGTTTATGGGCTAATAACTAAATTAACTATTAGTTACAACAATAATTTGTTTTAGATAAATTTGCTTAATTTATCTACTTGTTTTCTATACTTCTTGCAACTTCAACACTACATGATTGTTATTTTACAACACTTGGTAAAATTTTGGCACATTTAAGTTGTGTTCGAGTTGAACTTTTATTTCAAAATAGGGGTTAAACTTGCATGTTAAGTCATACGATTGCAATAACTCAGTCGGGTTGCGGGTTTGAAATTTTTGGTTAATCGAGTTGCGGCCTTGCGGGTCACTTTGGAATGGAAAATGAGAGGGAGGTTTGGGTGGGAACTTTGGAATGAAAATTTTATGGGCGGGTGAATATGAACCAACAATTATACTAAACTTGATAAGTAATCTTTGACGGTTCGTTGTTCAGGATATTAAGTATATGGTTAGGGTATAGGGTATAAGGTACATATGGTTTAGTGTGTATATGGTTAGGGTATAAGGTATTTATGATTTTGACGGTTCTAGGTTTTTATTTATTAACATATGCTCACTTGAAGTCATTTGAAGTATTTAACGGGAGCAGATCCTTTTTTAATTTATGTTTATGGTTCGTGGTTAGGGTACAGGGTATATGGTGTAGAGTATAAGATATATGGCTAGAATATAGCAATTAGCAAATATCACTTTTTTATCTCTGCTTTGAAAATCAAAGTATGAATTTCACTTTTAAATTAACTATACTAGCAAAATCACAACTCATAAGGATATATGGTTAGGGTATAGGCTATAGGGTATATGTTTAGTGTATAATGTATTGATGATTTAGGGTATACAATCAACAACATATACTAACTTAATATTGTCGATTGAGGGTAAGGCTAAGTGTATAGGATATATGTTATTGAGTAAGCTATGATTGAAGTCATAACAAATTTACTAAATTTGATTGCTAATTTTTAATGGTTCAATTTTTAGGATAATTCAAACAATTTTACAATAACTCATTTGTAACAGTTTACTAAAGTTATTTGGACAATGAGTTATTTCGAAATAACTCATTTCATCACTATGCTTTTGCCAAATACGACACGCTAAATACTAGATTTGAATGGTTATACTAAACGAAATACTTTAATTCAATTACTATTGAAATAATACAAAAATAACAAATAAACATTTAATGGTGTCTTTTGGTTGCAAAAGTTGATATCACCATTACTATTAGCTAGTATACTTTATCAACTATGATTAATTACATAACAAGTTTGAAAGTCGTACAAATTGATTTAACATTTTAACTAGGTTTTTTACAAAAACAATTAAGTATATATATACAAGGTAGAAAGAACTTGGTTAAAAAGTTTGAGAAAATTATTTTAAATTAGTGTAATTAAATGTGTAAGTTGATAACGAGTAATGAATAAGTTATTTGATGCACTGACCCGAAAAACCACAACCCGATCCGCCCGCAACCTGCCCGACCCAAAATCCGATGAACCCGCAACCCGATTTGCCTGCAATCCACCTGAACCCGCAACCCATTTGAACCCGAACCCGATGAACCCAAACTCGACTAACCTGCAATCTGACTAACCTGCAACCAGATTGAAACCAGCTCGAACCCGCCCGATTGACACCTATAAGGCTATAACCACAAGGTACCAAAAGGAAATAGTTGGGTAGTTAGCATAAAAGGTCAAAAACATATTCACTTTGTACAAAACGGTCACAAACCTTTAATTGCACGTTTTAGTAACATATGTTTGGACCAATAACAAAAAGGTAATTCCGTCCATGTCCGTTAAAAACTCCGTTATTTCCATCCAATCAACATGCCATGTCAATTAAAATATTAATAAAAAAATTAATGACCAAACCGATTGAACTGATAACCCAACCGAAAACCCTATACCCCACCCAAAATCTTGGAGATAGAAGCTTTCCCCTCCGCCTCGGTTCCTCCTCGATCTCGCCAGTTACATGGATATAGCTTCTCTCTCCCTCGTCTCTTCGCTGGCACCAGCAATGCTAGATCCCTCTCAATAATCTTCCCCAAATAAACACTCCTAAGTAATCCAATGGTTTATGTCTTCAACTGTTGGGCGCGCGCATGAATACTGCTAGATCGGGATCTTTTGCCCAAATCTGTTAGTTTATTATTTGATTAGGGATTAGTAGTGTGGAGTAAGAATGTGACGGCGAAGATGGTGGTAATGGGGTGATAAGAAACTCTTTGGCTCCTCAGCTATTTAGTGAAGTGATTACCTTCTTAGGAAGCAAAGCCTCGTTCATGTCCCAATCCCAAATGAGAGTTGCCAGAGTCACCGATGGCTATTTCGATTAGTGAATAGTAGTGATTGTTAGTTTACTATTTGATTAGAGATTGGTAGTGATGCTTTCCTCTATGGTTGTACAGAGCGATTCATCTCCCAGAATCATCGTCGGCCTAAAAAAATTCCCCGCCGCCGATCACCACCTCTGGTCACATCACCGGCCTTAACCAAATACCCGCCACCATTCGCCTCCATGGTCGCATCACCCGACTGAACCAAACGCTCACCACCGATGTCGTTCGATTGGTAG